CCTGCTAGTCAAATGCGTTTTGTTAAAATATACTTATTCACTTTTTTAGTCTTTTGGAAAATGTTGTTTGTGCTGTATTTAGACCCCTCTACCAACTTTTGATTTATGAAAATAAAGATTGTAAACCAAGAAATTTGTTTTGCAAGCACACATATAAACAAATGCGGTTTTTATCCAACGCAATCATTGGTTTGAACGTTGTTTTCAATTTAGACTTGTTTAAATGTAATTCGTCTAAATAACAGCCCAACAATGTTAGGTCTGTAGATTTGCGGAAGCAAATTTTTTGTTCTTCCCTGGCCGAGATTCGAACTCATGCTATATATATATATATATATATATATATATATATATATATAATTACTCTAAATATCCGCACAACAATGTTAAATCTGCAAATTTGAGGAAGCAAATTTTTGTTCTTCCCTCGCCGGGATTCGAACTCATGCTATTGAGATATCGAGACTTAACTAAAAATTCAGCTTTTGGTGGCCTAGTGTTCCCTTTCCTCTTCAGTAGAATCTAGAGTTGTAACATAGTATATGATATATTAGACATGAAGATGGAATTGATTGCAGATTAGCTAAATTATCTATCGTAAAGGATCGTAATATATATACATATTAGTTCAGTCTAGGTGGCCGAGTGGTCTAGAGCATTGGACACAGTGCAGGTGGTGTTGTCTCGATATCCCAGTAGCATGAGTTCGAATCCCGGCGAGGGAAGAACAAAAATTTGCTTCCGCCAATTTGCAGATTTAACATTGTTGTGCTGATATTTAGAGTAGTCGTGTGGTCTAGCGCGTCAGATACAGTGCAGGCGATTTGGTGTCACGATATCTCAGTAGCATGAGTTCGAATCCCGGCGAGGGAAGAACAAAAAATTTGCGAAAGCAAATTTACAGATCTAACATTGTTGGGCTGATGTTTAGACGAGTTGTATATATATACAACTCGTCTAAACATCAGCCCAACAATGTTAGATCTGTAAAATTGCTTTCGCCATATACAACTCGTCTAAACATCAGCCCAACAATGTTAGATCTGTAAATTTGCTTTCGCCTGCACTGTATCCGACGCGCTAGACCACACGACTACTCTAAATATCAGCACAACAATGTTAAATCTGCAAATTGGCGGAAGCAAATTTTTGTTCTTCCCTCGCCGGGATTCGAACTCATGCTACTTGGATATCGAGACAACACCACCTGCACTGTGTCCAATGCTCTAGACCACTCGGCCACCTAGACTGAACTAATATGTATATATATTACGATCCTTTACGATAGATAATTTAGCTAATCTGCAATCAATTCCATCTTCATGCCTAATATATCATATACTATGTTACAACTCTAGATTCTACTGAAGAGGAAAGGTAACACTAGGCCACCAAAAGCTGAATTTTTAGTTAAGTCTCGATATCTCAATAGCATGAGTTCGAATCCCGGCGAGGGAAGAACAAAAATTTGCTTCCTCAAATTTGCAGATTTAACATTGTTGTGCGGATATTTAGAGTAATTATATATATAAATTTACAGACCTAACATTGTTGGGCTGTTATTTAGACGAATTACATATAAACAAGTCTAAATTGAAAACAACGTTCAAACCAATGATTGCGTTGGATAAAAACCGCATTTTTTTTATATGTGTGCGTGCAAAACAAATTTCTTGGTTTACAATCTTTATTCTCATAAATCAAAAGTTGGTAGAGGGGTCTAAATACAGCACAAACAGCATTTTCCAAAAGACTAAAAAAGTGAATAAGTATATTTTAACAAAACGCATTTGACTAGCAGGTCGAACAATGGATGTTCTTAAACCCTGCTGACTGCCATTGGCGATTGCCAAATAAACGGATCACCAGATGTAACAAAATAGATCTTAATTATTAATTTAATACCAAACAGAAAACAATAAACTTGCGGAAAAGATGGTATACCGCAAACATGAGGTGCAAAAATTGGTACCCATATCCGGATTTCGACAATAAAGGTCTCTTCAGTGATGTTAGGAATCGAAACGGTATTTGGAAGGCCATATAATTTACCTCAATTTAGGATTGACTCTTTGAATTTTGAGAGTCCAAATAGGATGAACGAATTAAATAAACCCGAAGGCAAATATAATACAAGCCCAAACGAAAAAATATAAACAAGTCTAAATTGAAAACAACGTTCAAACCTATGATTGCTTTGGATAAAAACCGCAATTTTTATACGTGTGCGTGCAAAACAAATCATATCAAATACTAAATTCACTATATATCGGCACGCGGATCTAATTTTTGCCCAAAACTTATTTTCTTCAATTATATATTGCCCTGACACAAAGAACAAACAAATAACAATATCAAAATATTAGTTGACTATGCAGCATGGGCTTCGTTCTAACCGACTTTATATGGATTAACCTTCATTATGAGAACTTGCGACAATAAAGTTGGAAAATTCAAAAGGAGGTAAACAAGTATACTTAATGGCAACAGAAACATAATGGCCTTTGACGGTAAAAATCATGTACGATCAATGTTGTCTGCATATGTGTAGCCTTAGGTTTATATAACAAGTAAAATAACATAAATACAGAACTCCAAGGAAAATTCAAAGCGGAAAGTCCTCTATCAAATGTCAAAATCAAAAGCTCAAACACATCAAACGAATGGAAAACAACTGCCATATTCCTGACATGGTGCAGGCATTTTCTTATGTAGAAAATGGTGGATTAAACCTGGCTGTATAGCTAGCTAAACCTCTCACTTGTATGACAGTCGCATAGAATTCCTTATATTGACAACAACGTGTGAGCGAAACAAACAGACATTAAAGGTAAAATTGTCAAATATCGGGGTACAGCCGTCAACATTGTATTATAATCTTAATCACTATAAAAACAAATAACTTTTTCAACAAAGAAAAAAAAATGGCATAGAGAAACTCTATAGACAAAGTTCATAAGCAAAAATGAAAGACAAGAATACAAAAATGACCATAGCACAATAACACATTGGCGGGATATATAAATTACTAGCCACGCCAAAAGTATATTACCAAATAAAGGCAACAGTAGTATACCGCTATTCGAAATTCATAAATCGATTGAGAAAAAAACAACAAATCCGGGTTACAAACTAAAATAGACTAAATAGTAAAGGTTGAAAATATACAAAGACAAATTAAAAAAAAAAACTATAACAGTTACACGTAATTAAGATGGACAAAATTGTTACTTTTAACATATGGAATAAATCATGCGAAGCATTGGGTTTTAAGCAAATGGAACTTGTGGTATTGATCCTTAGTAGTGAGTGTCAATAGATCATACAGATAGTGTGTAACATTCAAAATACAAAAGTTATACAGTATAGAAAAACAGTTCGGAGCTTAGTGCATGAACTTACTAACATGAGATGTCTTTTTTAATTATGCAATTTATGAGTCAGATTTCAGAAAAATACTTGACTTTTTACAAATGACAATTTCTAAGCAGAAGTATTACTTCGATTCGACTTGTAAGGCTGCATCTTAAAAAAAGGATCCGCTATAAGATTAACGTATTTGTTTTCACAAAGCATGTGTCAGGGATATCCGCTTTACACTATGCTCTTCAGTACAAGTTTATTTACGTTTTTAACTGCCATTTATTTATTTGTCATTTTGACAAAATGTGTTACGGTACTTTTATGAAAGATGACGCGGTTTGGTTTAAATGGGAATGTGGAGGTCTGCAATTCATGTCACTTTTTTCCATGTATCTACGTTTATTTACCTTTCTATGTAAACGAGTTATATATGACAATGTAAGCTTACTGATCCGGAAGACCTAGAGGCCAATGTGTATTGGACTGATAAATGATTTGAGGTGATGGAATTTACCCGTATAAAGGTGCGTAACAAAAGAAACTGGCATAATAAATCTGAAGAACAATAGGCTATTACTACAAAAGTTCAGACACAACAAAAAAGATATTCACGAAACACTTGAGGTAAGAAGCTTGGTAAGTGCTTGCTAATGGATATATATAATTCGGATTCTTCAAGTAATTTGTAATTTTGTGACTTAAAGATGCGTGTTGTTTATAATAATAATAATAATAATAATAATAATAATAATAATAATAATAATAATAATTATAACAATGATTATTATTATTATTATTATTATTATTATAATGCTATTATCATTATTATTATCATTTATTCTATGGCATTGGTAAAACTTAGGGTCCTCTATAATTTACTTTACAATTAATCACAATTCTTATATATTCCGTTAAAACTCAGCAAAATAAGTTGAAAATTTATTCGTGTAGGCATTACCAGTTTGACTGAGTGGCAAAGCGACACCATTGAGGACTGCTGCAATGTTCAGGGGCCAGTGTTTGGTGTCTGGTTGATTTTTTATTATATACTATAATAACACTTTATTTATTCTTTACTGGTCTATTTGGAGGTGGCTTTGGTTAAAATAATGCTCCGATTATTGGCAAATACCTTATATCTTTTAGGACTGGGTATGGATTGACCACAAGATGTTCTTTGATTTGTGGGCATTTAATATCTTTCATCTACCCCATTTATTTTTATTTTCGTTTGAAAGTAAGATGGTGCGTTATGCTCGAGGTCAAATTGTATGTTGACCATCTTATAACCTTTTTATCAGATCCTGATTACAGATTCATGCCACGAGCATTATATTTTGTATATGAAACAGGTGCAATATATGATTTTATTTGTCGATAGCCATTACAGGTTATGTAGAAGTTACAGCAATAGAAAAGTTTCAACAATCCAGTTCCGAATGATAATTGTGATATACAAAGGAAAAGCACTATATAGTATTGAGATTATCAATATTCGTCGTCAATTATATTAGAAATAGAACTTTTAAAAGTATATGTATACTGTTGTAATAATGCATAACAGATAGTTTTTTTATTAACAAAACAATATTGATTTTAACTAATAATTATAAACTATATAAATGTTGTAGGATGGATTTAAAGCACGTGGTAATTTGGGTTTTCTTGGTTGTACCTGCTGTACCTGATTCTTTGTTTGGTGATTTGTTTGATTTCGATTCCAATGAAGACATTGACATTGATGACTTTTATCCGTTCATAGATGATGATTATTTGCCTATCAAGAGATATGCTACAGGAGTGTGCTATTTCAGGTTGGATAAAACCTATCATCCCAGAGAATTTGAGGCAACTATTCAGTTGGATTCGATGACATTAGATATGACGGTACGTATTTTATTTGATACATCTGTAAAGAATTGTTTAAAGGATTTTATTTTAATATTATGTCAATGATCAAGCCTATACTGTTGTTAGTAAAAATAACTTCATTTGGTCACTGGTGGAGATTTGTCTGATTGGCAGTCAAACCACATTTTAAAATGGCATTCGTTGTACGTTAAGGAACTTGGGATTTGATGCCAACAAACGTAAAACCTTTTCTCTCAGGAATACATGTATCTGATGACAATTATTCCAGAAACAGGTGTCCGCATCTTACATAATTGTTACGCTGACAGTTTATATCTCGGTGAAACATTTGGACAAGAAAATAATATGGAAAAATATACTTTTGAGGGAATTTCATATATAGTTCATTCCTTTTTGGAATCTGTGTTTATCTAAGCGATGCAAATAGTACAACAGACAAAACACTTTCAACCTTGTTTTGATGTGTTTTCTTTTTGCTTACCGGTACTGATATATGCGCTGTTACAAATAGCAGGTTTTCTTGACGTCAAACGAACCAATCGTATGACTAACACAATTCCAGTGTGGAGTACTTAGTAATGAACCATTTTATCAATTACTACCAATGATAAACAGCGATTTTGGATGAACCGATTCATTCCGCTAATGACAGTAACTTGACCATTTGATGTATACTGTTGGCATGCTAGATGAGCTGTTTTTAGTATATGTCAAATTTATATCTATACTAGGGGCCTCGGTGGCCGTGTGATCTTAGTAGTTATCTACAGTCATCACTATAAAAAAGGGAGATTTGATGTGCTTGCCGTTGAAATAAGGATGTGGATGTAAACAACTATAGGTCAACAATGAGCAAAACACCATACCGTATAATAAGCTATCAAAGGCCCGGCATGAAAAAATGCAAAACAATTCAAACAAGAAAATCAAAGACTTGATTTATATTACTGTGACTTGACTGTTAGTGTTACTCTCCACCTATTGCAACTTATCCAAAATTCTGGCCAAATTGCAATTTGTTTTATAAAACCAAACTGTTCAACTGGTCAGAAATTTGAACAAACTGCTGTAAAAAACCACAGTCAAGTCGTGAAAGTGCAAGGTGATAAAATAAAGCATACTTACAATCCTATAAGACTTTAATTCCACTTCAATGTTATTATGAAAAATCAGTCTAACAGTTTGTATAGAAATTTTATTGTGATTTTCATGCTAAAGGTGATGGATAGAAATTTTGAATTGCTATAAAAATGTCCAGACTGAGGTTTCATACAATTTTTTTTCGAAAAGTCTTCTATATTCATAAGAATCAGACATCATTTGAAATTACAATACGTTGTTAGGAAGTTTCCATGGGAGATAATCAATTTTTCTTTCGAAAAGTCTTCTATATTCAAAAGAATAATGTTTTAGGTTATCTCCCATGGAAACTTATTAACAACGTATTGTAATTTCACATATATTTTACTGAATATGAGATGTTTTAATTCAAATGATGTCTGATTCTTTTCAATATAGAAGACTTTTTGAAAGAAATATTGTATGAAAGCTTAGTCTGGACATTTTTATAGCAATTCAAAATTTCTATCCATCACCTTGAGCATGACAATAACAATAAAATTTCTATACAAACTGTTAAACTGATTTTTTATAATAACATTGAAGTGGAATTAAAAGTCTGATAGGATTGTAAGTATGCTTTCTTTCACCACCTTGCACTTTCACGACTTGACTGTGGTTTCCTACAGCAGTTTGTTAAAATTTCCGACCAGTTGAACAGTTTGGTTTTATAAAACAAATTGCAATTTGTTCAGAATTTTGAATAAGTTGCAATAGGAGGAGAGCAACACTAACAGTCAAGTCACAGTAAAAAAAAACGAGAAATAAATATGACAAACAGTAACTAACCCCAACCACTGAATATCAGGCTCCTGATTTGGAACCGACATATAATAAGATTTGCGTGTTTAAACATGTTTGTGAGCGTTCAACCCTCCACCTAACCTGGTATAGTGGTGTAACAGCACAACATATGAGCAAACTGTAAAGATCAGTTGATAAAACACGCCAAATTGCACGCAAATAAAAAAACAACTAACAAAAATACAAATGACCAATCAAGAGTACTTGCAGTTACTTTAAGCTAGTTTATAGCCAACTACAACTAATAAATTAATCATGTTTTCCTAGACTAACATATCAATCAGTACACATTCAACGGCTTTAGTGTAAAGACTGTCTATCTACATAAACAGTCTGAGAAAAGCATGGCCATGCCAAAATATAGGTATCGACAGGATGCAGAATCATAAGTTTTCATAATTGACTAGCAAGACATATTTAGATATGTTTTAATTCATTCAAAACAAAGTAATGTCTTATTATGTTAGTAGCGACGAAAATAATATTAAAAGATCTAAAACTCTTGAGGTCTATGGTTCTCTCCGGATAATCCGGCTCTCACCACCAATAAAAACTCTGAGGTCTATGGTTCTCTCCGGATACTCCGGCTCTCACCACCAATAAAAACTTCGAGGTCTATGGTTCTCTCCGGATACTCCGGCTCTCACCACCAATAAAACCTCCGAGGTCTATGGTTCTCTCCGGATACTCCGGCTCTCACCACCAATAAAAACTCCGAGGTCTATGGTTCTCTCCGGATACTCTGGCTATCACTACTAATAAAAACTCCGAGGCCTATGGTTCTCTCCGGATATTCCGGCTCTCGCCACCAATAAACACTCCGAGGTCTATGGTTCTCTCCGGATACTCTGGTTATCACTACTAATAAAAACTCCGAGGCATATGGTTCTCTCCGGATACCGGTATTCCGGCTCTCACCACCAATAAAAACTCCGAGGTCTTTGGTTCTCTCCGGATACTCCAGCTCGGCTCTCACCACCAATAAAAACTCCGCGGTCTATGGTTCTCTCCGGATACTCCGGCTCTCATCACTAATAATAACTGGCCGCCTTGATATAGCCAAGGTAGGTTAAGTGGTGTTAACACCAACATACATAAATCTATACTAGTAAACGTGATATTAAACATGATTCAAAGAGAAATAAACACAGCGGAATGTTGCTATATAGTTATAAATAGTTGATACTAAAAAAATTCATGTTTATGGTTTTATTTTTTTCAGGCAAAAAATTATCAAACGTTCAACCAAGATGGTCTAGGAATGGAATATAAGTTGACAAATTTGAGAACTCAGTACTCAGGATTTCGATGTTTAAGATTTAAAATTTCGTATTTTGGATGGAGAGTTCCAAATTATTGGTGTTTTGTGTCACATGGACCAACAAAGCTACCATCAACTACACCATCGATAACATCAACATCAACATCGACTATACCACCTAAAACATCAACTACAACCCCTACAACATCGACGTCAACTACACCCCCTATAACATTAACAACAACTACACCGCCTATTACATCAACAACAACTATACTACCTACACCATCGACGTCAACAACAACTCATACAACAAAAACCGACAAGACAACTACAAAAACTACTCTTGAGCCAACAACAACAACGTCGGCAACAACAACAATTAATAAGACTCCATCATATAGTTCACCACCAGTTACAACAGTGGTAACACCTACAACCCCACCGACAACTTTACCCACAACCACAGGTGCACCGATAAAAACAACTTCTACAAAGCCAACCACCACCCTGTTCAGCACTTCAACAACACAGAAAACATCACCAACCACGCTTAGGACTTCAACTTCAACAAAGGTTACATTACCAACCAGAGGACCAACTCCAGAGCCAGCATAATGTCATTGAAATGTTTTATTGCAAACGTTTTTTTGTTATTGCTCAAAGTATGTTGCAATTGTTAGCAGGCAATTGTGCGTCAGTTGATGTTTCATACAACTAAGCTTCTAATTAAAGTGAGAGAATACATTATGAGTTGTCTAATGTTTAGAATGGAAAACAGCTGGAAATGTTTACACGAACTAGCCTTACAGTCGTGCATGATAAGGTGATATCTCAGCATATTCAAAGAAGTGTGTATGTCTTTTGTTGAACCGTACATTTTACAAAGACTATCAGACAGAAAGTTTTCTAGTTTTTTATTATATTTTTAAACAAATGTTGATTCAAATGTGATCAAAACCATGTTTCATATCTCATTTGCTGTGAAGTAAAAAAAGGAGATTAAATTCGCCTTTTATATGCATTTTTCCTTATTTAATTTTATTTACATTCCTTAATGTATTATTTTAGTTAGTACGTGCTACTGACTGTTTGTAAAAATATAGGGCTTATGTCTCATACCATATATAAAATAGCACCTTTTTGTTGTGTTTTGTGACATTCCTATTGAAATAAAACATTTACTAAAATATTATATAGAGTGTTAACTAGTCTAGTTAAATATATATTGGCGGATATATTATAGATTTGTCACATGTTTTGACCTTTGTTCACAGTATTTCTTTTGATGTGATCGTATTACAAAATTTCTTATGATCCTATAAGATATACACATACACAAAAAAGCTAAATTAGATTGCTGTCAAATTAACTAATATTTTCCGTAAAAACAATAACGCTTATGATAGCATGTGCAACCAGTATCGAATCACATAAACTAGTTGTAATTGCAAAGGATATGGCATTTGATTACTGAGGACTTATCTTTATAAGGTAGATGTGGTTTGGTAGGATAGAATGCTGTGACGGCTGTCGGAGACCTGCTTAACTTTTTGTAGAATTCGCATTTTCATGACAGTCAGTATTCATTGGAAACAATATACATTAGTTCAGTATTATATTATTGTTTGTTAGTATTTGTCAACAACAAATGATTTATGACATATATGATTCGCTTTTACAAATGCAATTTAAATTTACATTGCTTTATGTCTTAAAGGGTTAAAAGACAAAAATTTTCTTTTTGTTTGATAAACATAGGAACCATCTAACATAAACATCGTTTTAAAATTTAAAGCTATTTTTTAACTTTCTTCTTTCATTCTTTTCAATAAATAAATCACAAAATGTATTGACATAAGGGTTAACTGTACCAGCCTGGTTTAACACGAAACGTTATTATGTTAAATTACTTATGATTGACTCAACCATATAACGTATTTGTCTTCGTTTGATCTCGAGGAAATACGGGGATGAGTTAAGAGTTTGATAGTACAAAACACAAGTTGTGTTCAAATGGATACTAATTGGCTCACTGTTTTTTTGTATTCATATGAAGCCAAACTTATACAAAACCTTCTCAAAGATAAAGAAATTCAAATGCTTAAGTTTTACGTTCAGACACATTAGTGATGTCCTGTCGCTCAGTAACCCATATTTCAATGAGTGAGCTAGACATAAAGGTTACTACTGAAACAATATGTTCGGCATCATATTTTGATCTTTTTATTGAAAATGACAATGATGAACGACCCGAAACAAACGTGATGATTTAAGTTTGCCCATAGTCAACATTCCACTTTTCAGTAGTGATATATCCAATCGTGTGATGAATTGATACGTTGTACCGTCAACAAGGACGTACTGTAAAATCTCCAGCAGCAGGGTAAAGGGGATTATTGACTGAAATCAATACTACACAAGCTTTACGGTCGCCATCACTAGGTAGGTCTCTCAACTAACGAGAGACACGTTTTCATTATCTTAAATCTTAAAACACCAAAAAAGTATTCATATCTAAACCGTTTTATTTCCTGTTGAGAAATGTTTTTCTTTTTCCAGGTGCGCATGACGAGTGATTTATCCTTATATTTTGAGACACTTTCCCTTTCGACGAACCCGAGGTCGCTCCGTTTGGAGTAAACTCAGTTCATGTAATTCCCTTGGTTATATTCCAAATGGATTCACGAGTTCAGAACATCAGTAAACTGCAGTTGCCTCATGAAATCAATTCCAGAGGCACATGGTATGGACACTGCTTTACAAATTAAGACAAATAGCAATATGTTAGGATATTCTTTTGATAATTTGTTCTGTCTTTACAAATAGGTTTAAATGGACCATAAATGTACATATAATAACATACCAAACATATCACACCATACTGTACACATCAAAATACTATTTATGTGTCCAGCAATTAATAACAAAATCAAAGTATGTCATAGAATAAAGGTATGTCGTGTTTTGATACATGACCCTATAGATAATTAAGGGTTAGCGTGTTGTGGGTCAAGATAGCACTATCTGCTTGCATAGGATCGGACCAGGTGAGATGTATCCAAGAAACATGTCATGCATTGTACATGTACTTTAATATTAACGTTTCAAGTTTTAAAGTGATTTTTTTATTAAAATTTTTTACGTATTTTTTTTTTTAATTATCTTAAATTGATAGTTAACAATGACATTGGAAGAGCTATTACATCTAAATAGTGACAAATTCAACCACACCAGCCGAGTTAGAACGGATTTTAAGAGCCCCTGTACTGGGTTTCAAAATGATGGTGTGTGTGGTGTAGTTACAAAACCACCATTTCAATATAGTAATATAGTATAGATGTCAGGATAGCGATTCAGGCTGCTTTTGTCAATGTTTATTTGTTCCGCCTAACAAAAGTTCTCTGGAAACACATTTGTTATGAACAATGCTATAATATCTGCAATATGTCTTCCATTATGAAAGAACTGCTATTTCATGACACTTTCAACTCCTGGTGTAAAATCTCATTAATTATGATGAAAGTTTTGACAACTTGGAACTTTTATAACTTGTTTTCAAAATATTTTAAAAGATACTTTGAGGAGCTATCAAATGGATATTGCTTTATATAAATTGTCTATATTTTTGGGAATGATTGCGAATGACACAAACTCCATCAGAGACCAAATGACATAGAAATTAACAACCCTATGTCACCGTACGGCCTTCAACAATGAGCAAAACCCATACCGCATAGTCAGCATTGTCATGTTTCGAGTTTAGATCTCCTGTGTTAATAGTTCGCCATCTTCTTGTTTTGCTTCAAATATCCTTATATTGGTATTCTAAACATTAACTTTCATACTCTTATCTAATAGTTAAAGAGAAGAAAACCGTTAAGCTACAAGGAGAAATTTAAAAGATTGTCCAAATCACTGTATAAGGATTCTTAATTCTTTTAGTTCTACAAAACTGCAGCAAATTGGTTTATACAATTCTACATGATTTTGCATAAGATATGTTTTTATTGACTAACACAATACAGGATTACATACGGTACATGAACGTCTGATACAATAGAGATAGTAAAGGACAGTGTGAGATTAGATTATTACAATAAGTTCAATACTAATGGAATTTAAGACCGCAACGACCGCACCAACTTCAACCATCACACACAGGAAAAGAAAAGAAACTTAGCAAGGTAAAGTAGTTCCCTTGCAGTTCTTCTGTATACGTATAGAAAAACAGATATCGAATATGCAAAACGATTGTCTGATTTTGCCGCATATTTGTCAAGGTTCCAAGCCGGAGATATGCTCATCTGATGAATGTCACCAAAGTCAAGCGTGTCATTTTTGATGAATGGCGATAAAAACTACAGTTTACCTGTAAAAAGGTGTGATTAGTGGGATGAGGATAACAAGTCATGGTACCATAGTCATAAAAGCCACGGAGGTAAGAGGTGGAAATTAACGATTTCATCATATAAGGTAAGGAGTGATAGTATGATAAATCAACTACAAAATACATGGAAAGAGTAAATCATAAATTTGTAACCGTATTCTATATCATAAAATTTCAATTATTCAATACTACAAATTTTGAAATGTTTTGAATTGGTGAACAAATGAAGCCATGATTTTGGCGTAAAAATCTTAATATAACATTCAAAAACTTCAAGAGTATGCAAACACCCCTTTGACTATTTCATAAACCTGAAGGTCTATGTCAGCTGTAACGGGATGGTAAAAATAATATATAAAAGGTAGATTTAAATGAGGGATAAGGAATTGAAGAAGAAAAGAATAAATATCAACCAACAAGTCAAACAATAGTCATGCAATCTAAATTTGATTAGCATATTTACAACAAGGATGTGCATAATTTAATTAGTATCTAAATTCTTGCTCATAGTAATGGATAAATTTAGATACTAAGTTAAGTGTTTTAGTTATTCTTCAGAACATAAACATATAAGGTAAGCGTTTTCTAATTATCTTATTTTAATTTTGCAGAATGAATATTAGATATGTATGGTTACTATTTGTCAGTTTTGTGTCTGGGAGTTTCGGATTTATTGGTGAAATGTTAGATACTATGGAGGATATACCCTTACGATTTGTCTCCGGAACATGCTTTTTATTATTACATCAAACTTATGATCCTGGAGAATTTGAGATGCGTATTCGGCTGAATAAACCCACCATAGATCTTTATGTAAGTATATTCGGATTTGAGCGTTCAGGTGAAGGTAAATATTCCAAGTGCAGCAGGGATAGCTAAGTATGTGTTTGCTTCCCTTTTTAACTCCCTCTTGCTGAAAAATAATTTTATTTATTTTCTTGCTTTCCCTAATAAATCGTTTCATTCACATAATGTAAAAATACTTCCTATGATAAATTTGAGTAATTAATTTACATGTCATTTGAGTATGGTCCATTTGATTTTATGGCTAAGGTTTACCACAAATATGGTTACTGGTCTGGTTTAGTGACCTCGAATTGATGTAGGCTAGTGTAAGTTTCAATATTTACAATGGAGTCTTTTAATTGCCAAGGTTTTTATATACAAACACTGTGTGAAACAACACATTCATTTTATTTGTCAAACGGGGCTCCCAGGATGAGAAGAACAGTCATAATAATCAATACATATAAAACAAACCTGAGACTACTATAACAGTCTCAGAACAAACAAATCCCGACATATGAACTTGGTTATATGTTTGCATATAATCAAGTGTATCTCAAAGAGGCAGTGTGGAGATTGAAAATGCAAAATTCAGAGACATTTTAAATTCTAGAAAAACGATATACAAATGTCGAGTGATAAACACTAATGAAACTTTTCTTTCCGTATAATAAATATTGACTAAATATAAATGTCTTATGTTTTTATTAGTCATATTATTTTTCTTATTATTAATATACTTTGTCAAGTAACTTTTTTTAATCTAAAGATTTATCACAAATGCCTTTTATTTGAAAGCTTTAAGCTGACTTATTGTGTATATAAATACATATTTTCGTGTTAGAAGTATACTTGGTGTGTCATTTACCTTGTAGCCTTCTTATTAATAACATGTCTATATGAAATTGTTTTCTGG